AGGCTGATATTTGCGGTATACAAAAGAAGTAAATAAATAAATAAATAAATACCAAGTGTGCAGCTTTTAAAGAAACAAGCACTGCTTATAAACTGATAGAAGACAACTCTCTACACAATAGGTTGGCATTGTAACAGAAATCCTGTTTCAATTACAACTCTACAGTCATCACAGACAATAGAAAAAGCACCTACATTCAGAAAGGATATATGTCATTTCTTTTCATGGGTTTTAGCTGTTTTGGCAGTAGCAATCCATACTGAGAGCTATAGTAGATGTTCCACTTTTGCAGGGGTTAGGACACACACAAACACCCCAAAAGTAGAAAAAACATGAATTGTAAAAATGCTTTTTAAAAAAGTTTATAGAACACCTCTCTAGGAATATCTGGGTCGACTCTATGGTCAACTTCCTATAGAAGTTGACCACAGTCATATCTTAACACAGAGGCCACACTTGTTTTAGGGTTTTTGTATGCCAATTAAAGTCAGTTAATAAACCATTTAAGTTGTGTTTTTAACTATGTGCCCTTCCACACTGCCCCTTTATCCCAGGATCTGACCCCAGATTATGTTCATTCCAGGTTATCTGGAAGTGGGAACTCATATATTCCAATTTAAAGCAGATAGGCTGGGATCAGATCCTGGGATAAATGGCAGTATGGAAGGGCCCTACATCATCTGGTAATTCCTTATTTTAATTATACACTGTGTGAAAAAGCACTTTGTTTTGTCTGTCTTGAGTTATAAAATAAAAAGGAATAAAGATGGGGCCCTGGGGTCTATGAGCCATTATACAGTATTAATTACTACTGTTCCTGAATGGGATAAGAATATTGTAGGCTTCATGAGCTTAGAGATAACAAGTAAGATCAATCATCATCGCTAACAGATAATAAACTGAGCAGGTTTCGTTGAGCATTAATGCTTAGCAGGACAGCAAAAACATTTCAAGCAAGCACCCTGCATCAGAGGCATGAACTTTTCAAACAGTTATTCATAGCTGAATGTCTTAATCTGGGTTATTTTCTGACCCCAGTGAAAATTCCAATATATTATAAGGGACAAAAATGCTCTACATGCACAGGAATTTTTGTGGGTGCTGTATTAAGGCTATCCCTGACTATTTAAGACACCCAGAGCCAGAAAGCATATGTTTTTGCATGAAATGGAATATTTCTCTAGATTATCTATCAGCTTTCCTTATTTGCAAAATATGTAATCAACACATTGGTTGGGACCATATTTTGATTGCAGCCATTTTAAAATACAACACACAACAGGCAGCTGAAATTCTGGGATATAAAATACAACTCTTCTTCAGTCACTCCAGAACTGCAAGCACTATCACTAGCAATTTTTGACAATTTATTCACAGTCATTACTTGCAGCAACAGCTGACATAGTGGAAGAAACAGAGTTGGCCCACCCATAACTAGCAGGTAAAGCCTAAGGCATTATTTATTTATTTATTTATTTACTGCATTTATTGACCGCCGCTCTCAGCCCTAGGGCGACTCGCGGCGGTGCACAACATATAAAAACAGTTTACAAAAAGGGCAAAACAGGGAATCAATACAACAATAATACACTATAATCTGGTTACACTAAATAATCCGCTCCGTCACATCATAGAATCATAACCAATATCGTAATCCGTATTCCGTTCCAGTTGTCAATTACCAGTTGCCGTAGCGCTCAGTTGAATGCCTTCTCAAAAAGCCAGGTCTTCAGGCTCCGACGGAAGGACAAAAGGGAGGGCGCCTGTCTGATGTCAGCAGGGAGGTCGTTCCACAGCCGGGGGGCCACCACCGAGAAGGCCCTTTCTCTCGTCCCCGCCAGACGTGCCTGTGAAGCAGGCGGGATCGAGAGAAGGGCCTCCCCAGACGATCTCAAGGTCCTCGTGGGCTCATAGGCCAAGATGCGGTCCGAAAGGTATTTTGGGCCGGAACCGTTTAGGGCTTTGTAGGATAGCACCAGCACCTTAAATTGGGCCCGGTAGCAAATCGGCAGCCAGTGGAGCTGGAACAGCAAGGGCGTTGTATGCTCCCTGCGTCCCGCTCCTGTTAGTAACATGGCTGCCGCGCGCTGGACTAGCTGAAGCTTCCGGGCCGTCTTCAAGGGCAGCCCCACGTAGAGAGCGTTGCAGTAGTCAAGGCGGGATGTGACCAGAGCGTGTACCACCATGGCCAAGTCAGACTTCCCAAGGTACGGGCGCAGCTGGCGCACGAGCCTAAGCTGTGCGAATGCTCCCCTGGTCACCGCTGAAACCTGGGGATCCAGGCTCAATGATGAATCCAGGGTCACACCCAAGCTGCGAACCTGCGCCTTCAAGGGGAGTGCGACCCCGTCCAGCACAGGCTGTAACCCTATACCCTGTTCGGCCTTGCGACTGACCAGGAGTACCTCTGTCTTGTCTGGATTTAATTTCAGTTTGTTCGCCCTCATCCAGACCATTACAGCGGCCAGGCACCGGTTCAGGACCTCGACAGCCTCCTTAGTAGCAGGTGGAAAGGAGTGACAGAGTTGGACATCATCTGCGTACAGATGACACCGCACCCCGAAACTCCGGAGGGATCTGAAGCATGGGAGGGATCTGAAGCCCCCCATGAAGGAGACCAGAAAACTGATTTAATTAAGTCTATATAAGATATAGAATGAACCATACTACCCACCCACCACCCGAATTTTTTTCTGGCTATGGCCCTGCCAGATGATCTTAGTCTCTGCAGTGGTTCATAAAGGGAGATGCGTTCTGACAGGTAAACTGGGCCGGGGCCATTTAGAGCTTTATAGGCCAAAGTCAACACTCTGAATTGTGCCTGGTAGCAAACAGGCAGCAGTGGACCTGATATAACATGTGAGTTGTATGCTCCCTGTATGCCACCCCAGTTATTAGTCTGGCTGCCTCTCCTTGGACTATTTGAAGCTTCTGAGCAGTCTTCAAAGACAACCCCATGTAGAGCGCTTTGCATTAGTCTATCCTGAATGTAATGAGAGCATGGACCACCGTGGCCAACATAAATGGGTACAACATTGTGTTCTCCAGGCTTGAAGAGCTTGTCATGAATCCCCTGGGAGTGAAAATTAGGCCCTTGCAGTTCAAGGGAAGAAGGAAGAATTGATAAGACACCGAGATGCTCTTTCAGTCCAATAGCTGGATTGTCACCCAGAAAACCCTTGAGGGCTATATTCTACTCTACTTTGCTATACATTATCCATACAGACTTCATGCTTCCACATTGACTTCCTCAATTGATCCATACCGATACAATTGGGAGGGGACATTTACCTTGCTTAGCAACAGGTGCAGAAATTCTTCTCCATAGTAAGCGGGAAAAAGGGTCTTATTTCTTATCAGTTTCTGACTGGAAAAGACATTTCCCCAGAAGAGGTTTCAGAGAAGAAACTGGCAGGCCAGATGGAGAATCCATTGAGGCCTTATCCAGCCAGCAGCCAGAAGGCTCTCATCACAAACCAGGTGAATTGCCTTCCTATGACTGCAAGTATATCCCCCTGAGTTGTACAAAAGCCTTGTTTCACTGGTAAGCTTGCAAATTCAAATAAATATGACAAAGGAGGGAGCGTGCATTTCCTCTGTGCACACACTAAGGTCAACGGTACACTTGCTTGACTGTTTTCTACAAATGCCAATCATTCGTCTTAGCAGGGGAATGAATGCATGCTCACAAATATCCCAATTAAGACGCTATCTTAATTGTTGGGCACATGTATGCAGTACTGTAACAGCAAAGGATAGTGTCAATTCCAAATTCACTGCAAGGTCTCTTGAAAAAGAGCAACACAGAACATATCATTTTCCCCATATATCCCCATGGTCACTACAGAAAGAAAAACCAAATTCAAAAGTTCTTGCATCTAAGCTTGCAGTAAATAATTTCTTATAAGAAGAGTATGAGACAATTCTTAATTATATCTGTAAACCTAAAGGACATACACTAGAAACAGAGTGAGCCTATATTTACAAAAATTAAGTCAAGGAATGGTCGGAATCTTTAAGGGATTTGAAAATGATAGGATCAGATATAAAGAATATTAAAACAAAGCATCTTTATAGTCCCAAGCATGTTTTCTCTCAAATAAGCCCTGCTACACTCAATGGGTCTTACTCTGTGTTTAGGGTTAGTTGCAATTTTAGTTGTAAAGGTAACGCAAACAAGTTTTGGATGGAAAGTACAAGCTGTCCCAGAGTTATAAACATCTGATTTACAAACAACATAGCTAAGAATTGAGTTGAGACAAGAGGAAGTGAAAGAAATCTACCCCTAGGAAGGGAAATTTACTCCTGAGAGGGTTACCATGGGAAAAAGGTGTCTCATTTAAAGTTTTATCACCAATCCTTGTTTCCACAACAAGCCAAATTTTTCAAAATCCAATTATCAAAAGGACAGAAAGTGAGGTGAAATCTTCTGAACAGGAACACAGGCAGCAAAACAAACACCACAGGGGTGTTAACCCTTCCCTATCCTATCCAAAACTATCTATCTATATATCTGTACACATTTAAAAAGTACCTGTTCCAACTTACAAACAAGTTCAACTTAAGAACAAACCTACAGAACTATCTCATTCGTAACTTGGGGACTGTCTGCATGTCCTCTAGAAGTGGTGCATTAAAGTTAAGGATAAGTTCTGGAAGATAGGTTTAACATATGCCACATCATAAATTCTGATAATGTATGGAAAACCAAATGATGATCCAGCTGTCTGTTGACACTTTGTCAGTGATGCTCCACAGATCTCCTGTTACCATAGCTATACAGACACAGCCATGTGAAGAGACTTAAAACTGCAGGAAAAGACAGTATTCCACAATATGTTCTAGAGCAGCAGAAATAATTTGTTTTACTTACAGGATCTCAATTTCCACCTGTGTCTAAGATGTCTACCTTAGACAAAAAAAAAAAATCATTTGGTTCCCTTTACTAGAGAATTACACCCCAGGCTGTGAGCAGTGTTGATCGATTTAAATACACCTACCTCTACAGGAGGAGAGTTGATCCTGCTACGACGATTTTCATCATGGGTGAAATCCGGATGAGCTCGTCGACCCATTTTTGCTATCTACATAAAACACAAAGAGTCCAAATGGTTCAAAAGTCCAGCGACAAAAATGTATGTTGGGATTGAGAACTTTTGGCTTTTCAAATGTTTTGGACTGCAACTCCCAGAATCCTTTAATGTTAGAAATGTTAGTTGAGGCTTTTAAAAGTCTTAAGTCCCAAATTCTGATTGTCCAAAGATTTCCCAGACATAATAGACAGATCAAAAGATAGACAGGTTAATCAGCAATTCCCCACTGTGTTCCACAAAAGCATGGTAGGGATTCCACAAAAAAATCTTTAAAAGCTTTTTGAAAAATCTTTTTAAGAAGAGTATGAAGATCTTATCAAAATTCAGTGTACCTCTGCTTTAAAAACAAAATTTGTATCTAATTCACTAAATATTTAGCAGACTACCATCTCCAAAACTACATTAGCAAAAGGAAAAGTTACTACAGGATGGTCCAAATCAGAAAGTCATGGGAGGCAAAATGGAAAGGCTTAATTTACAGAATAAAGGGAAAGATAATTATAAGGAATTAAGCAAGATTATCCTCATGATCAAACCATTGTAGTAAGTACAGCAAAATCTGAAAACTGTTTCTGGGAAGGAGAGGGAGGGAGAAAGAGAAGAAATGATGTAAATATGTGTTACCAATGGAAAATATTTTGAATTTTTGTATAATTTTGTGCAGAGCAATTCACAATAATTTTGAAAATAAATGTTTTTTAAAAGGAATTTTTTAAAAATTAAAAACCAAAATTTGAATCTGTGCCACTGAATGATTTTGGATAAGACTGATCGACATATAGCTCTCAGTAGTCAGAAAGGCTATCTGAGCAATACTCCTTCCAGGTGCCTCTGAGGCAGGTTCTTGCCAAGAAAACCTTGTGATAAAGTCATTTTAGGGTGGCCATAAGTCAGAAATGACTTGACGACAGACTGCAATAGACTTATTGGAATTACTTTTCCACTGAAAAAAGGAAACAGTAAGAATTTGCGTCAAAAGATTTTACAAACAATGGCAGCTACAGTGAGAACTGCCTCTGCGAGCTTACAAAAGGATCTTGTAAGGCATGTGAGACTAATCTTGAGACAAAAAGGTAGTTGCTTTCGCAGATTTAAGTCTACCTCATCTGATACCTCGGTTTCTTCATCATTACCCAAAAGAACAATTAACTGAAACCTATTTGGACCTGAAGGAAGTCCTTACCTAAACATAGTAGGCCTTTGTCATCAGCTTAGGTTTGGTTCTACAGTGCATTATTTATTTATTTATTTATTTATTTACAGTATTTCTATACCGCTTTTCTCACCCCGAGGGGGACTCAAAGCGGTTTACACATAAGTAATGACAAAATTCAATGCCAGTACAATTACAATTATACTCTACACTTAAACATAAATAAAATAAAAACCATACTTCCATAAGCAATAAAACAATAATTAGAACAATAAAACAGTCTCATTCGTCAAATTGCCGTTCCAGTCACTGTCTTCCTGAAATGCTGCATACCTTTACTTCTACTGCCCGAAGGCCTGGTCCCAAAACCATGATTTTAATTTTTTTTCTAAAAGCCAGGAGAGAGGGAGTGGATCTTACCTCATTTGGGCGTGTGTTCCATAGGCGGGGGGCCACAGCCAAGAAGGCCCTGTCTCTTGTTCCGTTGACGGGAGCGAGAGCAGGGCCTCCCTGGATGATCTTAGATTATGAGGTGGGACATAGGGGTGGATGCGTTCAGACAAGTAAGCTGGGCCAGAACCGTGTAGATCAGGCCTGGGTAAACTTTGGGCCTCTAGGTGTTTTGGACTCCAACTCCCACAATTCCCAACTGCCTCAGGCCCCATCCTTTTCCCTCTCAGCCGCTTGGCCCAAGTTTAAGCAGCTGAGGGGGGAAAGGAAAGGGTCTGAGGCTGCTGGGAATTGTGGGAGTTGGAGTCCAAAACACCTAGAGGCCCAAAGTTTACCCAGGCCTGATCTATCTGGAAGGCCCAAGTTTGCCCAGGCCTGGTGTAGCTACACCCTAGGTGATTTTGAGCAAAGTCACACTCTCTCAGCCTCAGAAGAAGACCATTAACCAATCTTGCCAAGAAAGCCGTGATAGAGTCGTGCTAGGCCGGATTTGAAGGCACACAACAACAACAACAACAACAACAACAACAACAACAACAACAACAACAACAACAACTTAAAAGTAACAAGGAGCACACCGTGGAGTCCTGGCTCTTTTCCTCTCCCTTCCCCCAGAGAGACTCGGCTTGAGGAGAGAGGCACGGCTGGCTGTCGAGCTCCGCAGGCCGAGGCCGACTGGGCCGCGCCATTTTGCGCAGAGAGAGCGGGAGGGAAAACCTGGGCGAGGAGGAAGCGCCCCCTCCCACCGCCGTCGCCATGGCAACCCCAGGCTGGCCTTACCCCCTTGCAGACTTCTTCGTCCAAATCCAAGTCGTCCTCCATGCTGCAAGCCCCCTGTCGCGCGCGCAGGGAAGGGAAGGGAGAGCCGCCTACTTCCTAGAGGAAGCCCCGCCCCTTTCAGCGTCCTTAGCAACCGCAGGCTGCCCTTAAAGCCGGTCTCGTCTCCCAGGTGTTTTGGACTTCGGCTCCCAGAATCCCTGCTCATTAGCCAAGGCAGCTAAGGCTTCTGGGAGTTGAAGTCCAGCTGCCCAAGAGGACTAGAGTTTGGGCGGGACTGTCTTAAAGGGGCAGCAACCCCAGTAACAAGTTCACTTGGACTTGTCAAACAAACTTCTTCATGAACCAGCATATTATTTGATGAACCAACCTGGACACAGCATATTATTTGAGAACACAGAAATGCTGGACCACTCCAACAACCACCATGTCAGACTACACAGAGAAGCCATTGAAATCCACAAGCATGTGGACAATTTCAACAGGCCCTGCTCGTGATCCCGCCTGCGTCGCAAGAGCGCTTGGTGGGGACGTGAGACAGGGCCTTTTCCGTGGTGGCCCCCCGACTCTGGAACACCCTCCCCAAAGATCTTAGACAGGCCCCTACATTGGCAGTCTTCAGAAAGAACCTGAAGACCTGGCTGTTCCGATGTGCCTTCCCAGATTAGGAAATCTCCAATACCAAGTCCCATAAGCACTTTACTAGAACTAAGATTGCTGCACACCGCACTTGCCCTATAATGCCTTAGATACCACCTGACACATCAGCACTTTTAATCCTGTACCCATTACTCTGGCCCGGCCCAGTTTTATTTTATTGTGTTTTAGTGTATTGTTTATTGCCTGTTGTTTATTATGCTTTAATTGTTTTAATTTGCTTAGGTTTTGTATTGTTATATTGTGTTTGAGGCCTTGGCCTTTGTAAGCCGCATCGAGTCCTTCGGGAGATGCTAGCGGGGTACAAATAAAGTTTAATATAATAATAATAATAATAATAATAATAAGAAAACCCATACAGGGAAACCATGAAAATGAACAAAATCTGGCTACCAGTATTAAAAAACTCTAAAATTACAACAGCAAAACAGCAGAGAGGAAACAACCAGGCACATCTTAACACCTCTCAACAAAAGATTCCCCCAGGCTCAGCCAGGCCTTCAAATGCTAATCAAGGTGGTCAGTTGAAACATTCACACCTAGCTCCAGCAGAGAAGAGCTCTTTGTCTCACCCTGGTCATTCCACAGATATATAAACCCTTTTCCTAGTTCCAACAGACCTCACTACCTCTGAGGATGCTTGCCATAGATGCAGGCGAAACGTCAGGAGAAAATGCCTCTAGAACATGGCCATATAGCCCGAAAAAACCCACAAGAACCTAAACTTCTTCATAGCTATCCTCTTTTCATGATTTTTTTTTACTGCAGTCCCCATTCTGATTAAAGACTTGACCAAAGTATGGGGGGAAATCTTTAATTATTTCAATATCTCCATTGTCTACAGCAGCCATGGGCAAACTTGGGCCCTCCAGGTGTTTTGGACTTCAACTCCCACAAGTCCACAACACCCGGAGGGCCCAAGTTTGCCCATGCCTGGTCTTTAAGATTTACAAGAAGCACTTCTTGACTATCAAGCAAAAAGCGGGTGCTAGAAACAATATCATCCTCATGTCATGTGGTGAAACATCAGGAGAGAATGCTTCTGGAGCATGATCATGCGGCCCAGAAAATTCACAGCAACCCAATATCATACAAAAGCTGACTGGCACAACCCGGGGATCACAACCAGATACAGCCCTTGCACTTTGCTACTCTGCTGCTGAGTATGCACGCTAGTATGGAATACATCTCAGCACATTAAAACAGTGGATGTGACTATTAATGAGGCATGCCACATTATCACAGGATGTTTACGCCCTACACCGCTGGAGAAATTATACTGTCAGCACCACCTGACATCCGTTGGGAAGTAGCAGCCCACAATTAAAGGACCAAGGCATTGACATGTCCGGCCCATCCTCTTTGGATATCAGCCAGTACACCAACACCTTCAATCAAGAAATAGCTTTCTAAGATCTACAGGGATACTCATAGGAACACTGGCTATAGATAAGGGCAAAATCAGAATGGTTGAAGCATTGGTGCATTGCATGTTGTCCAAAACACCATATTAAGGTAGAGATGAACCAAACAAACTCCCAGTTTATGCGAAACAATTTAATTAAAACAACACTTACTTTCTGGCTGTTATAAAAGTCCAAAATATAAAACATAAACATAGCACTCAGCCACAGAATATAAAACAAAAACTGACAGCAAACACTGTTGCAGGTTCAAGATAACACCGTAGTCAAAAGGTCCAGTTCAGTGGTCAAACGCCAAGAGTTCAATGATGAAGTCCAGGAATCAAGAGTCTATACCGTAGTCAGAAGCCAGTCAGAGATTCAAGGTTCCAGGGTTACAAGAGTACAGGAGACAGGTAAGGATACAAAAAATCCACAAACCTGGGGGGAAACCACCAACATCTACCACCAAAATAAAACAAATACTTTTCTCCCGAAGATTAGTCCCAAGTCTAGTTCATTATATCCAGAAACACTATCTCTTGCATGCTTCCATCCTTAATTGCTTTCACCCATGAACTCTTACTTACAGATTACTCATCCCTTTAGAACTAAGGGTTGAATTAACCCTTCCATCACCAACTGCTAGCCCTACAACCACCAACTGCAGAACACATGTGAGCATAGAAAGACAAAATTCAACTCTGTGGTGTTATGTAAAATAAACCACATGTAGTTCACGTTTGACCAGCTGACATATTGCCTTTCCAGAGAAAGAAAATATGCCACACAGGTGAACAGTAAAGAACAAGTAGTTTACTTTTCTTAATTTAGAACAACATCTGTACAATATGATCTGTTGCATCAACTCACTAAATGTCATTTTATGAGAGATTTTAAATGGTCCTTTCTGTGTCCATATGAGCAACCTTCTTTCAGCAGTCAAGAAGCAAATCCGTCTCTCTCTGCTTCTCTCTTCTTCTCTCTCTGCCCCTGCATAGCCCAAACCTGAACAAAAATGTAACAGTGTTCAAAGGTCCCAGGCTCAGCCATCTCCCTAGGCATTGCCTGACCAATCAGCTTAATGCATCTTATTTTACAGTGGATACACACTGCACTCACTGATTCCTTGCATGATCCAACAACTCCTCCCTAACTCAAGTAAAGGTGTGAGTAATCGTGCCTTTATATCACCTATTAACTATTTTACAGGGAATGCTCAGAGGTGGGGTTGCCAATTCCTAGAGATATGTTTTTTGGGGGGTTTAAAAAAGGCACAAATTTATTTATTTTTGCTTTTTCACTTTCCTGAGAGTCCTGTATCCCTAACTCCCAACAAATATAGACTGCAATATGATTTTAAATTTTTACTCCTGTGGGGTATTTTTCCTTAAACTGAATTCTTAAACATGCAGGTATTTAAAGCTAAGTCTCCCCGAGGGATAAATGGGGGCCACAAGTACATATGATGTTTTTAATATGCATCTTTCCATTCGAACAGGCCTTGAAGCGAAACCTCACCACAGTATCCTATTTCTGTAATAAATAGAGAGATTTCTCATATCCTGGAAAGGTCACATTAGGTAAGACTTACGCTTTTAAGTTTCAAGATGCAGTTTAACAGCTGGAAATAACTGGGAGGAGGACAGAAGGCCAAAACACCCAACCCACTCTTTTTTGGGCTCTGGGGCAAGCTTTCTTGGAAACCACTCCTATATATAAACAGGGGCTCCTCCTGGGAGATGTATTTTCTTTTTAAGGAGCGCACATCTCCCGCCAGAGAGCGCTGTTGACTTCCCTCAGCAAGACTTTCTCAACAGCCAACATTTGGGGACTTTGCCTAATAAAATAAATGAAGCGCAGCCTGCCTTGATCACTGGGCAAGAGACGCCACAAGCCTCAGCAGCTGCCTGTTTCTGTCCACAGTCAAAGGCTGCCCAGTCATGCCCAACGTTTTATGGAGGCAACACTCTTTTAAGGCCCTTTCACTTGAGAAAGAGGCCAAGAGGTTCAAAGAAAGGGCCTTTCACACATAGGCAAACCCACTCTCTCTCTTAAAATTACAGAGTTATTTTGTTTCTGCTCTCTATGAATGGAAGCACCCAGAAGTCCTATCATAGGGCACATATACAGTAATACGATTCCACTATGCACATATCTTATTTGTAGTACAAATAGACATGAAATAATACAATATTTAAAATGAAGAACAATTTTAACCAGTATTGAATTGGGAAATGTGGACCTGCTTTTGCCTGATGAGATAGTCAAGCTAATTAAGATTGTTGTTGTTGTTTACTTTCAAGTCGTTTCAGACTCAGAGTGACCCTAAGTCTAAAGTTTAGGGCAGGGGTGGGTAAATGACTTTGGAGGACTGTATCCAACCTGTGAACCTTAGTTTGGGGACTCCTGATGTAGAGGAACTACACTATGACTGTTTAAAACTGCATTATATAGTCAGTGTAGGCAGATATAATGAAGTTTGGGGTGCACTGAACTGCATATGGGTCTACACTGACCATATAAATGCAGTTCCAAACAGCATCACATAGTAGTGTAGATCAAGTCTGAAAAGGCTTCAGATTTGGAATATTATTAAAACAAGACGAGAGCCAGTATACCGTAGTGGTTTCAGTGTTGCACTAGGACTTTAGGATTTACGGGTTCAAATCCGTAATCAGCCATAGGAACCAGTTTTCCAAAGATCAATGCAATGGAATCAAGGGAGTTCTAGTTTTACAAGGCCTTTATTCTTCTCTGCTGGTGCCTTGCCAAACTCCATAGAATTGAGCCATGGCAATTAAAGGGCTGTCAAATTATGTTCATTCTACAGTGTAGATGTGCTCTACAGTGTAGATGCATCCTACTTTACTTTCTAGTAAAGCTAAGCAACACATCGGTATAGTTTAGATCACTGGCAGTTCAGACCACTTGATGTGTTTGAACTGGCTTGGCAGGCACTGTTAACAATTATTTAAACCACTACTTGCATAATTGGCATCAGTTTTTTTGCTCAAAGAGAGGTGGGGATGGGAGTCTCCAAAAGTGCAGACATTCCTCCTCAGTGCATTTACACCGCATGTATCAACTCAGGGTCCACGGGCCAAATCCAGCCTGCCATGTCATTTTATGTGGCCCTCCAGATGCTGGACTACAACTCCCATATTTCTCGTCATTAGACATCACAACTAGAGCTGATGAGAGCTGTGATACAGTAACATCTGGAAAGCTGCAGCTTGTTCTATTTAGTCAAAATAATGAGGTTTGAATTGAGGTACAAGGCTTGTAGATGTGACGTCTGGTGTTTCCTCAAGTGCTGTTGGCTTGCAATTCCCATTATCTCCAGTCTCGGTTGTTATGAGTTTTCCAGGCTGTATGGCCATGTTCCAGAAGCATTCACTCCTGATGTTTTGCCTGCATCTATGGCAGGCATCCTCAGAGGTTGTGAGGTCCCCAGTTTCCCTGGTGGAGGATCAAAAGTGATGGGAGTAGTAATTCAGTAACATCTGGGGACCTACAGTGAGTAAAAACTAAAGAGCACCAAAAACTATGTTAAAAAATATAGTTGGCCCTTTGTGTTCACAGATTCTCTATCCATGGATTCAATTACCCTTTGGAGGTTGATGTGGTCCTTGATGGAAATGAGTTTGACAGTCCTAAACAAATGAATAAAGATCCCCCTGCTCAATTATAAGGAATCCTAGTAGTTTTAGATTTACAAGGTCCTTAGCATTCTCTGCTTGGCCAAATTAAAGAGCTCAGGTTTGCATGGCACAGAGGCTGGATCTACACTGCAGAACGTGGATAAACTGCATGGAATTAGGTTATCTGGGGCCCATTCCACACAGTTGAATAAAATCCCCCAGTTTCTGTTTTGAACTGGGACATATGGCAGTGTGGACTCAGTTATCCCAGTTCAAACCAGATATTGTGGGTTGTTCTGCCTTGATAAACTGTAATGTTTAAATGTTTTAAATCTTGTTTTAAAAATTTTAATTGAAATGTTTATTTAATTGTATATTGGATGTATATTGTTTTTAAGGCACTGAATTATTGCCTGTGCTGTAAATCACCTTGAGTCCCCTTTGGGATTGGGACAGGTGGGGTATAAAGATAGTAAATAAATAGATACATAAAGGCATGTCCGACTTTGGAGTGGAGGGGGGGTTGCTCATCTCCATTTCTAAACCAATGTAGTAATGGGGGATCTTCTGTCTTGATATTCTGGGATATAGGGATGTGTGGAAGGGCCCACAGTTTGCGCCTGGAAAGGCCAGGTAACCCTGACAGGGGCTATTGCTGGCTGTCAGGACTGTAGCCTGGGGCAAGTTGCTTATTTTAGGACCCTTCCACACAGCAACCAAGATCCGCATAGTTAAAGCAATGGTATTCCCCATAGTCACCTACGGATATGAGAGCTGGACCATAGGGAAGGCTGAGCGAAGGAAGATAGATGCTTTTGAGGAAAGTTCTGAGAGTGCCTTGGACTGCAAGAAGATCCAACCAGTCCATACTTCAGGAAATAAAGCCCGACTGCTCATTGGAGGGAAGGATAGTAAAGACAAAGTTGAAGTACTTTGGCCACATCATGAGAAGAAAGGAAAGCTTAGATAAGACAAATATGCTGGGGAAAGTGGAAGTGAAAAGGAAGAGGGGCCGATCAAGGGCAAGATGGGTGGCTGGCATCCTTGAAGTTACTGGATTGACCTTGAAGGAGCTGGGGGTGGTGACGGCTGACAGGACTTCTGGCGTGGGCTGGTCCATGAGGTCACGAAGAGTTGGAAACAACTGAACGAATGAACAACAACCGCACAGCCCTATATCCCAGAATATCAAGGCAAAAAAAAAAATCCTATATTACCTGAGTGAGGACTCAGATAACCCAGTTTAAAGCAGATATTGTGGAACTTTTGCCTTGATTTTTTGGAATATAGGGCTGTGTGGAAGGGCCTGGGTCCCCAACTCAGATATTGTGGGATTTTCCACCTTGGTATTCTGGGATATAGGGCTGTGTAGAAGGACCCACAGTTTACACCTGAAAAGGCCAGGTAATCCTGACAGGGGCTATTACTGGCTGTCAGGACTGCAGCCTGAGGCGAGTTGCTTATTTTAGGACCCTTCCACACAACCCTATATCCCTGAATATCAAGGCAGGAAATCCCACATTACCTAAGTGGGGACTCGGATAACCCAGTTTAAAGCAGATATTGTGGGACTTTTGCCTTGATTTTCTGGGATATAGGGCTGTGCGGAAGGGCCTTGGGTCCCTACTCAGATAATGTGGGATTTTTCTGCCTTGATATTCTGTGTAGGGCCCCTGGGTCCCCAACTCAAATATTGTGGGATTTTCTGCCTTGGTATTCTGGGATATAGGGCCTTGGATGGACCGGATTCTCTTCCCAATCCCACCGACTTCACTCTTCCACCCCGCGCAGGCGCCCAGAAGAAGAAGAGGAATATTCTCCGGCCAACAAGGATTCTGGAAAGAAGAAAAGACCTGAGGCGAGGGGAGGGAAAGGGCTTGGCAGCTGCCCCTGTTGCTAAAAAAGTGTGGGACGCCAACAGCCCCTTTCAGTCTTCGGCACGAGAGGGGGGTAGAGGAGGAGGAGGAGGAGGAGGACAAAGCCACCCACCCAGGCTTTCAGTGGCGTGGGCGTGAGCTGGTGTGTATTTGTCTTGTGCCTGGATTTCTCCCTCTCCTTCCCCCCCCCCCCCCCCCGCCTTCCCGATACACCTCCTCCCCGCCTCGTCCATTCCTCAGGACGCGCCTGTTGAATGCATTAAGAGGCGAGGAGGCCGGGCTTGGAAGCGAGGCTTCTCCCTCGCGCTCGGGCGGCCGCTTTTGCCCGTCCCAGAGACGTCATGGGAGGGAGGTATAAAATTTCAAGCCAGGGGAGCCGAGAGGCAGAGTGTGCCGAGGAGAAGGAGGAGGAGGAGGAGAAGGCGCCCCAAGAAGGACGAGGAGGAGGAGAAAGGGGGCAACTGATGGCTGGCTGGGAAATCCAGGTTGGCCCCTGAAGCGTCGTCGAAAGAAGAAGAATTTGGGAAAGAGAGAGCCCGTTTTCCTCTCTGAAGCGCATACAGAGTCCTTGTCTCTTGCGGGAATGGCCCCTCAGAGTCCGCGCAGGGGCTCTCTTGAAAGCCCGACCAATGCCTCCTGAGCGGCTGAGGAGCAGAGCCACCCCGTTCCCCGAAATCCCCCCATGGAGAGGGAGCCCAGAGCCCCGCTGCTCCTCCTCCTCCTGCTCCTCTTGTAGGCGCTCCTCGCCCTCCGAAGATGCCCCAGCGAAGATGCCTGCTGCTGCTCGTGGGGCTCCTGAGCCTGGCCTCGGCCGCCCTGGCGCTCTCCTCCTGCACCACGCTGGACCTGGAGCACGTCAAGAGGAAGCGGGTGGAGGCCATCCGCGGGCAGATCCTCAGCAAGCTGCGCCTCACCAGCCCCCCGGAGGCCCTGGGCCCCAGCCACGTCCCCTACCAGGTCCTGGCCCTCTACAACAGCACCCGGGAGCTCCTGGAGGAGATGGAGGAGGAGAAGAAGAAGGAGCAGGAGGAGGAGGAGAGCTGCGCCCAGGACAACACCGACACCCAGTACTACGCCAAGGAAGTCCACAAGTTCGACATGATCCAGGGCTCCCCCGAGCACAGTAAGTGGCAGGACCTCCCAAACCATCCTTCTTAGAAGCAGGGAATCCTAGAGTTTGGAAGCCTAGAATGCCAGAAGCATAGACTTGGGAATCCTAGAAGCCTGGAACTTGATGCTGGCATGGACCAACTTCAGCCTTTCTCTCCAAGGGTTTTGGACTTCAACTCCCACCATTCCCATCAGACTCAGGCCCCTTCCTTTTAAGCGGCTGAGGGGGGAAAGGAAAAGGCCTGAGGTTGATAAGAATGGTTGGAGTTGAAGTCCAAACTACTAGGAGGGAAGGCTGAAGTTGGCCCATTCTTAGAAACAGGGAATCCTAGAGTTAAGCCTAGAATGCCGGAAGCATAGATTGGGAATCCTAGAATCCTGGAACTAGATGCTGGCATGGGCCAACTTCAGCCTTCCCTCCAAGGGTTTTAGACTTCAACTCCCACCATTCCTATCAGCCTCAGGCCCCTTCCTTTCCAAGGAGGAAAAGGAAAGGGCTTGAGGCTGATAGGAATGGTGAGAGTTGAAGTCCAAAACACCTGGAGAACCCAAGTTTGCCCATGCCTGCATTTAGATCAGTGGTTCCCAACCTGTGGCCCGTGGACCACCAGAACTAAAATATGGTCTGCGACCTCACCGTTACGACATTGTTGCAACGAGAGCTACTGGTCTCAAGAAACCTTCTTATAGTGCCAAGGCTTATTAAATATGGTTTTCTGTGGTTGAGAAGATGCAGTTTTCTGAATCAGCATCCCAAATAACCAAACCAAATCTAAAGTTGACCAAAAACTGATTCGTAACCCTTTTGGTACTAATGCTGGAGAGTGGTCCCCTGTCAAAGTGGGCCCTGATCAAAGTGGTCCTTGGTCAAAAAAGGTTGGGAACCACTGGTTTAGATGCTGAAAGCAAGAACAGATTGGGAATTGGACCACTCTGTTTCTCTTTCATGGTTAGGGAAGCTGAGACAGGAAGTTGTGGTGAAGACTGCACTTCCATCTAGACCACTGGTTCTTAACCTGTGGGTTGCGGGCCACCAGTGGGCAGTGAGGATGAAAATCTGGTCCATGAGCCTCCTTCCTCTTTATTTTATTTATTTATTTTCCACACATGCCACTCCTTCCTTATTGTTGACCATGGCATATGTTCTGTATCAGAAACTAGAGCTGTTGTGGTCTATCCAATGCAATTTTCTGAATCAGTACCTCAAACCAAATCTAAAGTTGACCAAAAATGCATTTGTAACCCTTTTGGTACTAACCCTGGTCAAAGTGGTCTCTGGTCAAGTGGACCCTGGTAAAAAAAAAGATTGGGAACTACTGATCTACACTGTGGCTCCATCTACACTGACCAGAATCTACACTGATCTGGAATCCTAGAGTTGGAAGTGACCCCCAAGAGCCCCCTAGTCTTGTCCTATTCCACCATGCAGGAACACATAATCAAAGCATTCCTGAGAGATTGCCATCCAGTTTCTGTTGAAGAACCACAAGAGAAGGAGACTTCACTACACTCTGAGGCAGCATATTCTACTGTCAAAGAGCTGTTGCCGGCTGGAAGTTCTTCCTAATGTTTAGATGGAATCTCTTCCTGCAATTTGAATCTGTTGCTCCATGTCTTAGTAGAAAACAGGCTTGCCTGGACTTCAGTGTAGCATCCTTTCAAATATTTAATAAACATTGCTATCATGTCCCATCTCAGCCTTCTTTTATCCAAGCTCGACAGACTCAGCTCCCTCAGTCTTTCCTTGTAGGGCTTGTCTTCCAAACCTTTGACCATTTTGCTCACTGTCCTCTGTCCATGTTCTGGCTTGTCAATATTCTTCTTGAATTGTGGTGCCTAGAACTGGATGCATTCTTCCAAGTGGGGTCTTACCAAAACAGAATGGAGCAGAATTATTACTTCCTTCGGTCTAAACACTAGGCTCTTAGTGATGTAGCCTAGGGCCCTTCCACACAGCCACACAACACAGAATATCAAGGCAGAAAATCCCACAATATCTGCTTTGAACTGGGTTATCTGAGTCCATACTGCCATATATTCCAGTTCAAAGCAGATATTGTGGGGCATTCCTGGTTGTATGGGTGTTCTTGAAGGGCTCTAGGCTACATCACTAAGAGTCTAATGTCATTTCTATTTCTATTTTACAGTTAGGGAAAGTGAGGCAGAGATTGTTGGTTGTACTGAGCTAAGCCAGTGAGTTTTATGAGTCGTCCAGATCACCAGGTGCCCTTCCACACAGCCATATAACCCAGAATATCAAGGCAGAATAAATCACAATATTGGCTTTGAACTGGGTTATCTGAGTCCATACTGCCATATATCCCAGTTCAAGCAGATAATGTGGGATTTTATTCAGCTGTGTGGAAGGGGCCCCAATCAGAAGCTTGATTTGAACCCTGGTTGCCAGACTGCAGACTTGGCTTGGTTCTCAGTGCCTTCAGAGAAAGAGGGGGAAAATCCTTAGATAGGGAGGGACAGGAAGTGTCTTGGCAACAGCATCTCAGAGATGCAGAACCCTGTCTAGCCAAAAGGTTGGCACCGACTAGCCATTGCAGCAACACAAACTGCAGTGTGTGTGTTTTATTTTGTGTAGGTGGTATTCTTGAGCATGGAGACAGGTTGGCACACACTGTTCCCATTCTTGCCAAGTCAGTGCGAAATGTACAGTCTGTCTTTGCAAAGACTTATGGATGAACCGGTATCAGTATGTATTGGCTACACTGATGTTTTCTAAGCAGTCAAGAGTTTATGGAACCCTGTTGGGGAGAAAGCATCCTTGTGGGCAAATGAAGCTTATCCAACTGAAAGGCGATGTGGTGGCTCTGTGGCCAATGTACTTGACTCCCAAATGGAAGTTGTGGGTCTACGGGTTGGCATGCAGGCTGTGGACTGCTTCGTCTCTTGAAATCCTTGATTCTCCGCCACCCAACCACTAGTAAATACATTTTCTTCGCTAGGCCTGGAATCTTGGCAAGCACAGGAGTGCATGGACAGGTTTTCCAATCATCTGGGAAGCCGTGTGAGGTTCTGGCAAGAGCCACAGTACCCTTTGCTGCCTTTAGAGGCCGTCCTGGGTCCTTGAATTTCTTACAGAGCCCTGTTGGGGCGAGAGGAAGGGAGTGGGCAATTCAGGTGGGTGTGTTTGTGTGTGGAGAAAGCAACAAATGGAGTGTTGGGGTGAGCATAGGCAGAGTGCTGGGAAGAGAATGTTACTTTTGATGGGCATATCCTGAACAATTTAGCCTACTGTCTGGTATGATCCTGAGCTTGGGAACGATCCTTTTTTTGAATTGCAACTCTCAGAACCCCCCAGCCAGCTCAGCCAGTGTAATCTGCAAAAGAAAAAGAAAAAAACAGAGTGGGTTGCTGTGAATTTTCCAGGCTGTGTGGCCATGTTCCAAAAGCATTCTTTCCTGAAGTTTCATCCACATCTATGGCAGGCATCCTCAGAGGTTGTGAAGTTTGTTAGAAAATAAGCAAGTGAGGTTTATATATCTGTGGAATGTCCAGGGTGGGAGAAAGAACTCTTGTCTGTTTGAGGCAAGTGTGAATGTTGCAATTGATCACCTTGATTAGCATTGAAGGAACATGAAAGGCACTTTCAAGGAACATGAAAGACACTGCAGACTAATTCAACCAGAGAATTCAGCCACAGCAGAGCACTTGATGAACCAAAGCTGAACCACTCTAACAACCACCATGTCAAACTACACAGAGAAGCCATTGAAATCCCCAAGCATGTGAACAATTTCAACAGAAAGGAGGAAACCATGAAAATGAACAAAATCTGACTACCAGTATCAAAAGCATCTAAAATCAGGACAGTAAATAAAGAGCAACACTCAAAAAACAGGGAAATTCTAGATATTAATCAGTCAGGGCCAGCTAATTACCTCCCAACAAATAATTCCCTCAAGCAGGAGGCAGCCAGGCTTTGAAACTACAAGGCCATTCAATGCTAACCAAGGTGACCAATTGCAACATTCACACTTGCCTCAAACAGACTAGAGTTCCTTCTCCCACCCTGAACATTCCACAGATATATAAACTCCACTTATCTAGTTTCCAACAAACCTCACCACTTCCGAGGATGCCTGCCATAGATGTGGGTGAAATGTCAGGAGAAAATGCTTGGGAGCATGGCCATATAGCCCGGAAAACTCACAGAAACCCAGTGATTCCGGCCAGTGTTTTTTTTAGTGTTGCCTTGAACAACACCAAAAAATAAGACATTTTCTCAAGCTCTGCATTGAACTAAGGTGGACCTCCACCTGAGTAAACATACATAGGCTCAGGCTTTTAGGAGGTCAACGTATTTAAAACCATGAAGTTATGAAAGCCAGGCTCTCTCACTGTAGAGCAGCTCCCTCCCAGCAGGTGGAGGAGCCAGAGCATTGGCAAAAGGACACGCCAGGGGCTGGGACGGCTTTCCGAGTCTTGGAATAACATCAGCCCAAATCCAGCCAGTGAACAGAAAACCAAGCCAATGTCTAGAAACCTAAAGTCGGGGAGGGGGAGGGAAAAAAAGGGGATGAGAAACCAAGAGAGAGGAAGAGAGAGTGAGAGTGAGAGACAGGGAGGGGGAGGTGGGATTTTAGGACTATGAGAAGGGAAAGTGTTTCTTGAGCCTTGGAAGCCAAAATTATTCTTGAAGAACTGAGTATATGTATTAAAATGTTCCATATGTGAGTAGTAGTCACCACAGGCACTGGGCAAGGTTCCTTGTTCATGAAATGCATAGAGAGTAAGAGTTGGCATAGTAAGGTATGTGCGTTTGGGTTATGTTTGGCATGTGGTGAAATGGTCACGTATTGTGGGATGGACACAATTAGTCGAAAGCATAACTATTCAACCCACGTCCTGTAGAAAATTTGGAGTCCTAAGGAAAATGTTTGGTTGAGTTGGCAGCCAGGCACAAAGCAAAAAAGCATTGTTCAGGTCCTTCGGCTCTTGAAACATGGGCCAACTCAGTTTTCATTTCCACCACACTGGTGCTCTTGTGTGACTTGATTC